CATATCGAATATCGCATTTTTTAACAAGGTATCGCATATCGCATTTTTCTTCAATATCGCACAGCCCTACCATCAACATACACTATCGTCCAAAAGTTTGGGGTCAGTATTTTTTTATTTTATTTTATTTTTTTTTTATTTTTTTTTTTATACAGGGCAGTTTCAGGGACATCTCAGAAGCAGAGTATACAGTAACACTACAATACAATAAATTGTCTTCCATCTAGGTTGTCTTCAAGGCTATTCAGACTGTTATGAACTGGACTGACATTTCACTCACAATTCTTCAAATTACTTTCATCCATGTGTGATGAATAATATATATTTTCTTCACTATTGAAAAAGGGCAGGATGACATATTAAATCCTGAGCTTCTGCATGGGCTGTAGTCTTTGTTACAGAAAACAATGTAAACCACAAAAGGCTATGCAATACAATGGTTTCGCCTTAGTTAAGGCATATTCTTAGATTCTTGTGTTTTATTAAACCACAGTAACAGCTATATGATAAAATGTTAAATAAATAACAATAATAAGAAAAAAAAACAATCCACCAGGTAATGTAGTTTATTTACCTAATTGTAGGCTGCCAGGCAACATCACTGCTTGACACATTAATATAATAGAGCGGTCACAGGTGAGTTAATATGCTTTTTATAACCTTTTCAAATGTGACTCAACCATCAGCATCTTGAGTCAACTATTTATTTTATATTATTAATTATATTATGTAGTTAAAATTAACTATAACCGTGTATACAGTATACTGCACAGCATCAGTTAGAAGTTTCTTGACAGAAAGTCCTAAGACAGACCAGGTAAATCAAACATTTTCGCCTGTGTATTTATGTAAACATGCATAAAATGGAAGAACCACAGTATTTGTGCCAGTTCTTCTAGTGTTCCCAGAGCAAAGCAGAACAAACAACATTTAATCAAATAATTCTGTCCCAGGGGTTTGTCTTTGGTCCCATCTTGGATCAGATGGCAAATGGCTTTAAAGCCAATCTCGGATTTTTTATAGCAGAAGGTTGGAGCTCTGCCCTTTTCACCCTATTCTTTAATATTGAAAAAAATGAAACTATTGATTTTCTGTCTGTTTCTCACTCTGCTCGGAATATTAAAATGGACAGTGAGATCTTGCACACAATCACGTCCAGATTTCAATAAAGTAAAAATGCAGTAAAAATGGTTGTTGATGGCAGGATGTTAGCGTATTTTTTTTTTTTTTTGAAGAGCAGAATTGAAGAAAAGAAGGTCACAAGGCTAATATCGCTGTTTCTTCTTGCGTGGTGCCATTAGTCCCTTTGTTCAGAAGGATAAGAGCTTTTATATTTGTCTAAGAGCTCACTCGTGAAGTTCCAGTGTGTGGTTTTGTTTCTTGTGTAATCTGGTAGCACAACTGTATCATAAAAAGCACACTAAAATCTTAAATTAATCTATAAAGACATACGGCATGTCAGACAGAATCAGATTTATAGTTTTAAATTATGGTTTTCACTTAAGGACACATTTTAAGATGAATGTACAGAGACAACTGTAAGCCATAATCCATTGGCTGATTTTCTGAAGAGGGTAAAACAGGTCTGAAAACCTGCTTGGATTTAGATCATCATTTTTACAATTCTGTTTGGTGCCAACTTCTGGCACAGCAAATGCATACTTCAAAGAGTGTTTATGTGTGTGCAGATTTCTTTGACAATAGAGACATCTAATGCAACATTATAGTATTGCTCATTTTGGGTTGGGATGTGATCAGAATTGTATGAATTATTCTGAATAAAAAGTGGAGTCAATAGCTTCTATCATAAACTAACCATCATTTCTCTGTCTGTATCAATGAGAAGCTGTTATTATGGTAAATATGAGTCCATTGAAAGTCAGCAGGTGATAAGACGAAATTTGATTTTGCAAATTGATTGCATTCAGTATTAGATTAAGGGGCCTGCATCCATACTAAGTGATGGCAACAACAGTAAAGCAATTTTGGAATTTAAGGCCATTCTGATAAATAATAATAATATATAAAAAAAACTGTGAAGTCTGTGAACAAAAGAATAAGTACAGTGTGTGTAGAAAAGAATCAACCCCCTTTACAATAATCACATTTTGTTGCATTGCAGCCTGAAATGAAGATGGACACAGTTTTTGTTTTATCCAGCTGTATTTACTCAGTGCAACTTATAACATCCAAGTGAAAGATATAACACCAACATGTCAGAGAGAGAGAGAGAGAAAAAAAAACAATCACTGAGTTGGAAAAAAGGATCACCCCCATCCTAAAAAATGACTTGCAAAGGTGTAGCTAATCACCTTCTCAATGGTACACAAAGCCATTTGACTTTCAACTGTGATGAGCTGTGCTCATTTTGATTAGCTCAGCATGAAAAGAGCTTTCCTGGAGTATTTAATTCCTTAGTAGTTCAAACGATCAACTATGGGTGGCAAGGCACTGTCAAAAGATCTCCAGGATAAAGTTGTGGACAGGCACAAGTCAGGAGATGATACAAACCAATTTCAAAGGCTTTATCAATGCCTAGAATCACAGTGAGTTATTATTATTTTTAGTAATAATAATAATTATTATTATTATTAAGAAGTGGAAGGTATTTGGTACAACACAGACCCTCCCTGGATCAGGACTGGACTCCAAACTGGATGAAAGAGACAGGAGGATACTGCTCAGAGTGCCTAGAATCACAGTGAGTTATTATTATTTTTAGTAATAATAATAATTATTATTATTATTAAGAAGTGGAAGGTATTTGGTACAACACAGACCCTCCCTGGATCAGGACTGGATGAAAGAGTCAGGAGGAAACTGGTCAGAGAGGCGACCAAGAGGCCTACAGCAACTCTGAAGCAGTTGCAGGAATTTATGACAAAGAATTGTCATTGTGTGCATGTGACAATAATATCACGAATTCTCCACAAATGTGGCTTGTATGGGAGGGTTGCAAGAAAAAAAACACTCAAAGGCCACATGCAGACTGAACTTTGCCAAAACACACCTTGAAGATTCTGAGGCAGACTATAACTGAATTATTTGGCCTCAACACCAAACAATATGTCTGGCAGAAATCCAATACAGCTCACCATCCAAATAAACAGCATTCCTCCAGTAAAGCATGGAGGTGGTAATGTCCTGTTATGGGGGTGTTTCTCTGCAGCAGGGACTAGAGCACTTGTCAGGACAGAAGGAAAAATGTATGGGGCAAAAAAGTCAAATTCTTGAGGAAAATCTGCTGCTCTCTGCCAGAAAGTTGTCAATGGGAAGAAGGTTTACCTTCCAACATGACAATGACTCAAAGCACACAGCAAAACTGACCACACGAAGGAAGAAAAGGAGACAAAGGAGAAAAAGGTGAATGTCCTTACATGGCCTAGTCAGAGCCCAAACTTAAACCCCATTAAAAAACTGTGGACTAAAGGCTGTAATTAAAGCAAAAGGTCAACAAAATACTGACACAAGGGTTTCCAACTCGGTGATTCTGTTTAAAAAAAAATTCTGACGTTGGTGTTATGATATTCTAACAAATTGGATGTTATAAGTTGCACTGAGTAAATACAGCTGGATAAAACAAAAACTGTGTCCATCCTCATGTCAGGCTGCAAAGCAACAAAATGTGATTATTTTAAAGGGGGGTGATTCTTTTCTATACCCACTGTATTTGGGATTTTGCTACTTTTATTTTATTATATACTGTATATTATTGGATATTATGGTACAATGACGAGCCAACAGGAAATTATTTTCTGTATTTATAATCTGTAATTATAATCCATATTAGAATTAGAATTGTGTTGGCTTAATAGGAACATTGGAGTTAAACTGGGATCACAGGGATATTAAAAAGTTGAACTACATTCTGGCTTGAGATCTACCAGAGTAATGTCTTTATTTTTACTTTTTCAGCAATGTTGATATGTGCGATTGGTTAATAACTATAATGAAATTTTTCTTTAATTTGTTTTAAAATGTAATCAAGTTGACATGCAGATCATCTACGGGTACAGTGTTGTGTGTTATTCTGGAGAATTCAGACTGCTGTAATACGAAGAGGAAAGAAACACCGTTTTATTTAAGCTCCCTGTGGAAAAACACTTCTACAACTATCCATACAAGCTCAAAACAACATCAGACACCATGAGTGCCCTTCAACAGAAACCTTCCAACAACTTTCCTTTAATGAAAAGCACAGTGACAAGCCCAAGGAGAAGCAATTCACTGAAAAACAATTTACGACTCAAAAAGGACAAAGAGAGAGTTGAGGAAACAAAGAGAGAAAGGAAAAGTTGCAGAGGGATGTGACAGGTCCCCGAAAATCATATAAAATGGATAGTGATGAGTGTATTTTTGCCAGACTGTGGCAACACTCACCTTGAGGAGCGTTTGAAGAGACAGGGGGCCATAGTCACACATTTTACTCACACAGCAAAATCACCAGAGTTAAAATCCTGGTGTTATGGTGTTTTAGAGTAAAGTGTTAATGTTATGGTGTTGAATTAACACGGATGGTGTAAAAGGGATACTCTGACTGGTGAAACTACTGAAAGTCTGACCTCATTAACACTGGTAGTGCGATTACACATCCGGGACATTTACGTGGTGCGGGCTTCAACCAGCCAAAACTCTTCTCGCTGACGCCATTTTATTTGAAACGCCACTCGGAGCGACTAAGCGTGTGTTTTTTAACTGGAAGCATACAGCATACATTATTATACAGTTATAATTGAAGAAGTGCATGAAGTAATTCATAAAGTTATGTAAATCATTGTTTTCGATTGTTTGGTTTAGCTGTACTGTTCAAATTGATTTGATATGGACTTTAATACTTGACCTGGTTGATTGAAAAAACTAACAAAGCTATTTAATAGGTCAGTGTAATTATGTTTATTTATTTATTTGTACATTTCGTTAAATATCAAGTTCGTGTAGCGTTGAGGACGCGCTGCGCGCGCTGAAACTTTTCTCAGACGCCATTTGTTTCGACTGACCCTGCAGACGAGGCCAGTGCTCATTTACTGGAAATGTAGACGGTACGTTTTCTTTGCAGTATGTAATTTATAATCTCATTATTTAAAAGCAATATTTCCTTGACGTGCTGGCCCAAAAGTGTTAACTTTTCCCACATAACTTACATCATTTTCTCCAGTTCGGGCTGCAGAGCAGATAAGACGGCCTACGTTACATATAAACTGGAAAAAACGCAGAAGGTAAGTTAAGTTCTTTATTTCATGAAGATAAGCGTTCCATAAATCGAAATAGTTCGATAAATCGTTGTTTATCATTGTGTTTAACGTTAGCCGTTTGTCTTAAAAGCCTGTTCAAATGTATTCGATATGGACTTGTGTACTTGAGCTGGCTGACTGAAACAACCACATTTAGTTACTAGTTCGAATTTACCAGCTATTTTATAGGCAAATTCAGTTTAGAATATTGTGTGTATGTATGTGTAAATACTGTTAACTGTCACGTTTGTGTAGCGTTCAGGACGTGCTGCGCGCGCTTTACAGCCTGACATTTCTCGAAGACGCCTTTTTCTTTGACTCGCCATGTGGAGAGGCGAGGCCAGTGTTTCTTTACATTGAGAAAAAAAAGTTTCTTAATAGTTTCTTATTGATTTTTTTCAATGCAAAACTAATAATTTAAGCACAAGATGCAAAAGGCGCTTGCACATTATTTTCTGCGCTTTACACACATCCAAAAATATCCAAGAAAGCCACTTCTGTGAAATCAAAGTTAATCATTTTTTTGTGTGTGCATTGATGCATCATATGATTAATCAATTGATGTATCAGTCAATATTACCCCATATTTAGTAACCCATATTTTTAGGCATATTATTTAGTATTGTTGTTATGGCTGCTTTTTTTTGGTCTACAGTGCGAAGCAGATTTGATTTACAGACTGGAGCAGACTTGAGGATATTTGATGAGTCCCACACTGAAATTGATCAAGACATTTTGGAAGAGTTGCTAGAAGCAAACCCAAAATCAACATTAATCATAAAAGATCTTAGTGAAGGTACCTTTGATCCATACATAAAATAGTGCAGTGACAAAGATTGGTCACAATTTTTTGAAAGTTCATTTCAAATTTATTTATTTATTTTTATTTTTTTTTTGGCAGAGGAAGCAGCCAGCTCCTGCACGGATACACTGAAAAGTCATTCATCTAGTGAACAAGATGTGCCCTCTGAAAGATGTGCCAAAAGGCTCAAAACATCACAGCAAGATGACAGAGTTGGAGCAGCGGAGGAGCAAAGATCTGCAAAGGAGGTGACATGAGTTTCTCATGTTTTTATTTACGTTACCATTAAACAATTTGATGAAAAACAGATTCAAGTTAATTCAATAATTCAAGTTACTTACACTCTTAATCAATCTTTGAGTATTAAAGTTGTATTGGTTTTTGAATGACTAGGCATGTCACAATGATATCTGTATTGACTTGTCACACGATGTATAAACATGACCTCAATAATTTTTGGTGACGCGATAGATTGCCCATTGTATTTACATAAAAATGATTGTCCGATGGCACTCAGCATTCGGTACATATCTCGATGCTGGGTTCATGATAAGTATCACGATATGTTAAACAAAATTTAAAAATTAAACTGAAATTCAAGTAACACAGATTTATGCTTAATCGTAATCTCTGCGGTGGATGCGCACTATATATGCGTTTCATATGGATTACATAATCTGAGAATGTTTTCTATTTGAATTGTTTCATTAAAACATTTCATGTTCTATAGATATATTTCTCATGTCTGTGAGGCAATAGAGTTTCGGTTCATTTTTGACACACTCAAGTTCAAAGGGACCCAGACGGCAGAAATAGTAACCTGTTTGGTTTCATTATTTTATAGCACACAGCGTTTTGTATTTAAAGTGTTAGTGATCGCATCGGCACCTCATTTTAACTGTCTTGCGGTACAAGCGCGCTGTTATTATTATTATTATTATATTTTACTCCGCAAAAACACTTGAATATGCACACATTTAATTATAGACGTTATTGCCTACATGTAATATAGAGTGGCCCTTTAGAAAAAGAGCTGGAAAGACCGCCAAAACTGCCAACTACGCAGTGAGTCGGTGTCATGGACGTAGGGGCAGGGCAAGTTTAAATATCTTATATATATTTCCATCTTGTAATGCTGCTGTTTTTTTTCTTTAAAAAATTATTGTATCCCCCAATTGTAAGTCGCTTTGGATAAAAGCGTCTGCTAAATGACTAAATGTAGATGTTATTATTATTATATTTTACTCCGCAAAAACACTTGAATATGCACACATTTAATTATAGACGTTATTGCCTACATGTAATATAGAGCGGCCCTTTAGAAAAAGAGCTGGAAAGACCGCCAAAACTGGCAGCTACGCAGTGAGTCGGTGTCATGGACGTAGGGGCAGGGCAAGTTTAAATATCTTATATGTATTTCCATCTTGTAATGCTGCTGTTTTTTTTTTTTTAACAAATTATTTGTGATAGATCAGACACTGAGTTTTTTAATGGGTTATGTTAAAGCCCTACTTGTTAATGAATTAAAAGACATATCATAAAATATCACCATCACTCTCGTACTGCGAAATATCGTTACAACCCCTAAACACAATAAAAGGTGTTTTGAAACATGTAGTGTTATTTACAAATTATTGACATACAAGAAAAAGCTCTTACAACAATGTAAAATACTGTTACAGTCAAACCTGAACATTGTGTTATCTGTGTTTGTCTGTTAAGATAATTGATTGTCATATCTGTTTTTTTTTTTTATGTTTTTTTTATTCACCTAATAATTAAGGCTGAGACATAAATGTATAATCTAAAAGTAAGACTGTTTTTTGTATGCATGTTCTGTCACTTACGTGCTGTCCCATCCCATATATGTACATTTATTTTTGGTCGGAGGATTCCAACCCAGAAGCAGAGAGAGCAGTATGCCCTTGGAATTGTGACTTTGTTTCCATAATTGAAAGACCCATTTTCCAAGAAGGGATATGTAAGACTTTTTCCATAAAATTATCAAATGTTTTTACTTGAAGGAATTCACACGACCTTATGTGACTGTCATTTCACCTGCTATAGATTTAGATGAATGAATGTAAAATGGTCCTGTTTTTCCCCCAATTTTACAGGAGCACTTTTATGATGCAGCAAGTGGAAGTGGTTATCTTGCTTGGCGTTTAAAATCCGTTCAAAGAAACAACTCCCGTCACACTGAAAGAAAGAATAAGCCTAGCTGTGAACAAGGAGGTCCAAACACCAGGAGAGACGTTAGCTTAGAACATCAGCTTGAGGGAGATGCTCTTGTGGAGGCCATTTCACTTCTTGCTCATACAGGAGTTGAAGAAACCATTTTTGAAAAGATGAGACAGACATTTCGCTATCGCCAGTTACTTGTTCACAATGCAGATACAGCTACAAATATTCTAAAAACCTTTCCAAGGTTTTTAGACACCAAAGGATTGGTTAGTAATACTTAAAATTATTGAATGTTGCTTTAAGTGCATGTGTAAGTGTCTAATGCTGATAAATATTTTCAAGGTGAACCAAGATTTTGTTCTTCTGTTCGATTTGGACACATCCTCCAAGCTCTGGGAAAGATGGGATGGAACCTTTAAACCAAAAATCATTCAAGAAGCAAGAAACTTGACTTAAGACATCTCCTGTGCAACGTCTCCTGATGTCAGCTGAGAAAACCCCCGAGCATGCCACATATTCAAATAGGCAAAAATAGTCAATAAATGTGATTATCGTCATGCTTTTTGTCCCATTCCACTCTATAGAGTATAATGTTCCTTTTTTGTTGTTGCTGTTTTTATTTTACTACAGTCAACCGGCTCGCAGTTAATCGTTACATCCCTAGTTAACATTATTAACTAAATGTATTATTAAATTAAATTGATCAGTAGTTATAAGTAAGAAAAATATTTGTTAAGAATTATATACGTGTTTTTCTTGCATTGACTACAGAAACCATTGATTAAAGTACCGGGGTCGGTATGAAGCAGGATGAAGCAAATGAAGCAGGTGACAAATGAAGCAGGATGTTGTTAGACCAGACTCCCCTGAACCTTTTAAAAAAGAGTTTTGAAAATCCGTTCACCAGTTTTAATTCTGAAGCTAAACGAGCAAAGTTTTTCAATGAAAGATGGGGAATTGTTCAAACAGTAGAAATAGTTCTTGGTGTTAGGTATGACAATAGACGAAACAAAAGAACTGGCACCTATGACCAGGTTCCAGTTAAAGAGACTTTTGTGTACATCCCCATTTTGGATAGTCTAAAATCTATGTTTCGCAACAGATATTTGTAAGCATTTTAAATTGGGGTTTGACATCAGTCCTGATGTATACAAAGACTTTAATGATGGAAGTTACTGCAGAGGCCACCCATTGTTTTCAAAACACAGTTCCTTACAGATCCAACTGTATTACGATGATTTCGAGACGTGCAATCCCCTGGGGTCAAAACATGGGATTCACAAGATTGGCTGTCTTTATTTTATTCTGAGAAATCTTCCACCGAAGTTCAACTCTGCTGTACTGAACATGCACTTAGTTTCTCTCTTTCACTCTCGAGATGTTAAAAAATACGGATTTGATGCCATTTTAGCTCCTTTGATAAATGATGTTAAAATTCTTGAGAAGGAGGGGATTTATTTGCCCATTTCGTCTGAAAAGGTTTATGGTTCAATTTGTCAGGTTGTAGGAGATAACTTGGCAATGCATGCTCTTCTTGGTTTTACTGAGTCTTTTAACAGTAATTACTTTTGTCGCTTGTGTCTAACTGAAAAATCTGATGCCCAGAATGTTTATAGTGAGGATGACCCAAGGGTAGTGGTCCATGATAAAGCCAGCTTTGAGATGCACTGCAGGGACATTCAGTCAGATACACAGTTGAACTCTGTATATGGGGTTAAAAGAGACTCTTCGTTGAACACACTTTTATTTGGATACATGACTGAAAATTTCATATCAAAAAATGATCTTCTTTTAAGGATTTATTCTTTTGTCTTTGGTTACACAGAGCGTAGAAACCGCCCGACAAATGTCAACTTGGAACATGGTGGAAATTCCATTGGATTAAATTCTATACAGACACTCTGTTTAGTGCGAAACACGCCCTTACTTTTTGGTGACCTTGTGCCTCCAGGAAATCCAAACTGGAACTTGTTGCTCATCTTACTGCACAAGTTGAATTAACTCTGGCAATTTTGCTGTGCAAGCATTCCACTCCATGACCACTGAGG